TATCCAGTAGAGGTTACCATTTTTGTGAGGAAAAGCGAAAATTTTAGGGGCCAAATTACACACATTTCTTTTACATGAAACGTATTACTGGAGACGGTTTTGCGAATGTCACAATTTGCAAAAGTTGTAGCTAACAAGACGGCAAAAACGACGTATATACTAATTAGTTTAGCTTCTCTAAGGGGTTTGGACCCACTGTCAGTTGCAACGTGAACACGTCGGCGAAGCAATACTCGGTAACGTAAATTCATTGGATAACTATATTGCAACATACTCAGATATTTAATATTTAGTTTAAATCAAGAATAATGTGAGTGTAACAACAGAGTCCACAGCTGAACGCATAGAAACGAAATGGAGACATTATCGGCTGACGGCAATCGTTGGGAGTAGGAAGGGGCAGGCGGCTGGCTGGCTGGCTGGCTGGCTGGCAGGCATGCCAGTATCAGCACTTCCACTCCGCTACCCTTATCGATGAAACTCTTATCTCACGATTGATTGAAAAATATTTTAAAACCTCTAGTATTGCACACAAATGCATATTATTGTTCTAAATGAAACCTAATTTTGAAGCACAAGCATTCGCATTTCAAAATCCACCACCATTACTAATTCAAATTTAAGAGATACATGTATGATTGTCACAACCATCTTTAACTTCATTTCCTTCCATCGGCTTTTTTCAATATTATGCGGACAAGTAATTCCGGTATAAATGACTCTACAACAATTACCCTCATAAAATGCCATTTCTTCTTGGTCACTGTCGCTTCGACCGTTCTTCGCTTGAATCACACCCTTACGCTATTGATGTTTACAAGAAATGATTGTTAGTGATTCCGGGCGCGTCATGTGCTAACTTCATTAGTCCCGCAAGCGTAGTGCGAATTTTTACCGTGAGGTAGAGATGGTCTTCCCCATCTGGATGGCAAGATCCAGCGCCGACAAGCGGTTTTTCCTCAACCACGTATCTCCCGCACGCGAGGCATTGTCCCAGGCGGGACAAGCTCTAAGCTCTCGACCGGTCACCTGGCATATATGGTAACGCGCATGTAAGAGTAAGTGAGGGGTGAGGATAGGGCGAGGAAGATACGATCGCGTGCGGTCCATGGTCCGTTTCTAAGGGTTCCCTCCAGCATTCGCCTGATGTTCGGAGAAGCCACAAAAAACTACCGATCAGAGCCGATGGCGGCAAGAATTCTCTCCCAGACAGCGACTGAATTCGGCCTAGCTACTACAAAATCCTTTCACCATCGGGACTTGAACCACCTAGGACATCCCGATCAAAGGCACTGCAGTGACATAAGATGATGTCCTAAGCCATCTGTCCCGGTATGTGTACAAGAAAGAAACGTGGATGCGTAAAGCGCTAACATCAGATAAATCTTCTCTACTGAATATGCCTATTAGTGTACTCCGAGACATGATCCATACACCTCAATAATGTTGGCAGCAGTCTGTCTAGCTTCCTACAAGAAGTTGCAAGGATGGAGCACAGCACCATAAGCGTCGTCACTGTTTTACACGGAATTGAAACCTCTGGGACAGTTTGTAGCGGGGACGGCGGGCGGCCCTTCGGCAACGCCGCCGCCGCGACAGCTGTCGCGCAATCCGACTGCGCGAGCGCGCCGCCTCCCTCCCCGCTTCTCGCGAACGCTATCGCGAGACCCGAGGCGACCACCCCGCCGTCCTCTTCCTCCCACGCGCGCCCCAGTCCCCCCGAGACGCTCAAGTGGCCGCCGCTCCCTACGCTAAAGGAGAGCTGCCCGCCATTGCGATACCCCTTGGTACTCGTCTACTTCCATAGCCATATTGAACAGCATCCGAGCAAGTTTTCTTCAGCTGATTAGTTCGAGCTTCTCGGTACGTCAACTGCTACGGTTGATGGTCCTGTAAGTGTAGTGCATAATTTTATCACGGTGCTCTTGTCCCGCTTGATGGCGAGTTCTGACGCTGACTTATACGTCGGTTTCCGGGTTTTTCTCATCCCAATATCTCCTCCAGCGAGGCACCGACCCAGCCAGGACAAGCTCTTGTCTTCCGACCTCTGTAATAGTAGAGTGTGTGAGATTGTAAGAGAAAGGAAAGGTTGCGCGCGGTCCGTGACCCGTTTTTCATGGAACTACTCCCGCTTACTCCCGGTAATGATGCGAGAAATTACGGGTAAACTACCGCTCTGAGCACTGGGCGCTACAGTTCTCGACCAGACGGCGGTTGAAGTCTACTTAGCTTGTGTCGAAATTCAAATCGTTAACTCGGAATACGAACCTCTATTCTGTACACACTACTTATCAGAAATTATCAACTTTTCGAATCAAAGAAAATAACGTAAAATATTTTAATGTTTAATACTTAATTTTGAGACACTTTTCATAGTTCAGAGAGAGTTTCATTTTATTTACACTAAGCGTTAACTGAAGTTCACATCACTTTCGAAAACGAAATGTGCATCAATAATAGAATTGCCACTAAATTGCACATTCATCACCAGCATTTCCAATAATTGTTCCCATGTAAATTAACGCACACTCAACTGGCTAGTTCCAGAGAAGAAACATACTTCAAATACATCATCACCAGCAAACAGCTGTTTATTAATGTTCCAACACATGCAACGCATAAAAAGTTGCGATATGCACAAGGCGACGCAGTGGGACTGACACTTCTAGACGTGTCTCCCGAGCACTCTATTAAAATGCAATGGGCGCACACACTGGTTGCAGTCGAATGATTTCATTATGGTCCAACAGGGCGTTGCGAGAGGGGGGTGGAACGGGATGGTGCTGTGCGGAGCAGGGCGGGGCGGAGCGGAGTGAAGCGGGGCGGGCCGAGAGGGGCGGCGGAGCGGGCGGAGCGGAGGCGGAGGCGGGCGGAACGGAGTGGGACGCGGGCAGAGCGGAGCGGGCGGGGCTGGCGGAGCGGGCTTGGGCCGGAAGCGAGGGCTGGGCGCGACAGGGGCAGGAGTGGAGGCGGAGGTGGAGCGGGGCGGAGAGGGGCGGAGAGGAGCGGAGACAGGGGCGAGCGGACGAGCGGGGCGGAGAGGCGAGAGAGGGGCGGAGGAGGAGCGGGCGGAGCCGGAAGCGGGGCGTGAGCGAAGCGGGTGCGGAGCGAAGCGTGCGCGAGGCGAAGCGGGCGAGGCGAAGCGGCGGAGCAAGCGGGGCGGAGCGAAGCGGGGCGGAGCGAAAGCGGCGGAGCGAAGCGGGGCGGAGCGAAGCGCGGGCGGGAGCGAAGCGGGGCGGAGCGAAGCCCGGGGCGGAGCGAAGCGGGCGGGGAGGGGCGCGGAGGCGAAGCGGGGCGGAAGCGAAGCGGGGCGGAGCGAGCGAAGCGGGGCGGAGCGAGGGCGGAGCGGCAGCGAAGCGAGCGGGGGCGGATCGGAGCCGAAGCGAAGCGGGGCGGGAGCGAAGCGCGGGCCGGAGCGGAGCGAAGCGAGCGCGGACGAAGCGGGGCGGAGCGAAAGCGGGGCGACAAACGAGAGTGTTGGAACCTGAGACTGCCAGAACGACACTGAAGTGTGCGAACGCGACTCAATGTTCCAATCCACCCAAAGGACCCAGTTCCAACATGCAAATATCTAACAAAGGCGTCTTATCCCATTTCAGTCGTGTCTGACATGCGTTTTCTTTCAACTTCATCTCACTTTTTTTATTTTCACACCAAATAATTTTGAAACCTAGTTCTCACTCACAGCCTCTTTTTCTCCTCATTCGCACTATCGGTGCTAAAATAATCACTCCCTTCACAAAGTTACATTACAACGCTGTTTTTCTTTTGAATGTTAACCTTAGAGTGTTGAATGTAATTTTAGGGCGCAATAAAAAAAACACCTACCACACGTTACAAAAAACATTTTAACTATACAAATTTCATTTTCACTACTGTTCATATTTGCAGGCGAGGCTATTCAAAAACATTCAAGCTTTTGGAAGATTTATGTGAATCGAAAGCTCCACATCAATTTTTTTTTTAGTTCTTGGCGATAGCAAAATTCAGCAGAAAAGAAACATAGCACGAGCGTCCACAACAGAATTTTAATATAATAGTTTATTCGATATTTTAGGTCACTGAACAAAAAGACCTCCTAGCTTGAGGGAAAGAGTAAAAATCATGAAGAGGCCATTACCCTTTAAACCTCGTTAGGAATGAAAACCAGAAGCAGAAATTTCCCAGAACTGAAACTGTACAACAAGAAGAGTAGGTGCATTTTAATGTTACAAGTTATTTGGGTAAAGACATGCTAAACAATATCAAATCAAAAATCCAATTTTTGTTGAAAAGGCACACAGAAAGCAAGTCGCGAAAAAAATATTTTATTCGAAAACACATTTTCTAAAAAATTTTCTTCAGGGAGTCTTTCACATTACAAATAAATTTAAAAAAAAACATATTCTATTATCAGAATGTTCATTGAAAGAATGTGCCATTCTTTAAGAACTAGCGCGAACATATTAACACAGACCATGTAAAGCTTGTTTCATTGTTCCTTTCTGACATGACCACACCATCACAAGACGGCAGATAGCCCCACACTTTGGTAAAGAAAATACGCATACTACCTAAAAAAGTAAAGGAGTCGTCCGCAGGAGGTTGCTGTTGTGATTGCAATCGCACAGCGCAAACCAAGCATATTAAGTACGCCACCGAGCACCTTGTTTCTCGAGAATAGGTTTGAGAGCGAGGCCCTTTGGCGCTGAGGCTGCGGGCGGGCCGGGGTGTGCGCAGGGACGGCGCACGCGAGGGCTGCGCAGGGGCGCTGCAGCGCGCTGGCGGCCAGTCGTCCGACGTGCTGCTGGTGCTGGGCCTACTGTGTGCTCACCTTCCTCAAGCTGTGCTTCGCGGGCATCCTGCGCTGCGAAGCTGCGCGAGATGATCGCCAAAATCCGCGTGCTGCGCGGCGACGCGCGCCCTGCCATGCCGCTGCTATTCGCTAGCGGGCCCGCGGACGGCGGCGGCAACGGCGGCGGCGGGGCCGGTCGGCGCGCCAACGGCGCGGGGTGGCGGAGGCGGCGGGCTTGCGGGGCGGCGCGGCGGCCGGCGGCGGCGGCGGGGCCGGCCGGCTCCGGGGCGGCGGCGGAGGGCCTCCCGCTGGACCCGGCCCGCCCGCGGGCCAGCCTCCGCCCATCGGCGCCGCCGCCGCCTCTGCGGCCGCTCTATGCGACGCGTCCGTGCCGCTGCTGCAGCACAACGGTAGGTAGCGCGCTTGGGCGCGTTTGCGTTCGGCCTTCCATCATACAACATGCAAAAGCAGGCTTTGCAACTAAAAGCACTTGCCGCTTGGGAAGAAACGTGTCAAACGTTCTTGCAAAATTCTGTACTTTCTTTCCACATGTAATTTCTCAATTTGATAAGTGAAAACTATGCCAGAACAGTTAACATTCATAACCGAGTTCCAAGTTAGTTTATGTCTGTGTTAAATAATTAACCTTTTTGAACCTATTTTTTTACAGACAATTTATTTCTCAATGTTCTTGCTACAACGTAACAAATCGTATGGTTTTAGATTCTTCTTCAGGTATTTTATACATCTCTGCCCGTTATCAATCAACTTGGTCAAAATTCCATATGAATATATTGGATTTATCCAACGTTAACCACTGAATCCACAGTATTTTGTGGTGGAGTGGATACACCGGTGGTCTTCAGGCATGACAATGACAACCGGTTTATCCATCTCACCACAAAACACTACGGACACGGTAGTAAATGTTGGATGAATTCAACATATTTTTAGGACATTTTAACTTTTAAAGTTGATTGATAAAGGGAACAGATATATAAATTACCTGAAGAAAACCCTAAAAACATGAGATTCGAAATGCTAGAAAATTGAAGAATAAATTGTCTGTAAATAATTGGTTCAAAAAGGTTAATTAATAACTGAGCTATATTATTGGACCGAAAAGAAAAATAATGTATTGTTATATATTGCGAACATTCACCACAAACGATATTCCTTAACAAAAAAAACTTGCTCTCCAGTCAAATGTACGAATTACGTTATGTTTTTACGATTTACTAGAACATTCAAAAATTTATTTCCAGCGTTTCAGTAAAACCTTGTTCAAGTACACTCTGAATTCAGATAATCTCAAATTTAGCATATCGATACAGCTAAGCTTTGCGCATCACCACCACAAGCAGACGTTTAGATTGTTTCATAAATCAAGAAACAACACAATTCAATCGTGAATATAGAGCAAAGCCATGCATGCAAGAGTAGTAAGGGCAAGTGCATTACTCAATCCTGAGAAAGAAATTCCGATTCAAAGAGGAAGAAGAAATAACAACCTATTGTTTTTACTCTTCTAACACTTGCATAATTAACCCCAGTTGAAAATGGACTCTGCATTTACAAAGTAAGTCACGGAGCTCATGCAGATATAACAGCATTACTGTTATATCTCCATGCCCCATCTATTGTGTTAGTATACGATTGCAAACAAGGTTACAAAGGCCATATATGTTTTGAACTGTCATTTCGGTGAGAATATCTTTTAAGCCAGAGCACTATCAGTTTTGTCGGAGCAATAACAGCACACTGGACCAGCGTGTTTTATGGAGAATAATGAATGGTGGCGTAGCAATAGAGGAATGTTTACTTTGCAGGTGCGCAGTTGGGATAGAAAAACGCGTCGAGAACGCTGGTTTGTCAGAGAACCGTTTTCAAACACACTCGAACTCAAAAAGCATTAGACTCGCAGGTCAGTAAATCGTGAACTGTGTTTAATATAAAACATGTCCACATTGTGATTATTGGAAGTTGTCGCTTCTCAACAAATACGGTTTTTGGACTGACCTATAATCAATATTAAAAATTTCCATTAAGTCACCTTCAATTGTGATAGAATTTTGTTTTATTTGCAAATTTAAAGCACGATTTTTTCATAGTGGAGAGTTTTGTAAAAAATAAAATAAAATGAAATTGTACAAAAAGCTGTTTGGCCCGCATCACTCCCAGTTTTTTGTCGGTATGTTAATTATTATAACAAAACTTTGTTCTTCCGCAAACAATTATAAGGAATGCTTCTTACAAATGGAGAAATATACAAGGTGTAGCACAGACATATGTGGCTGGAATAGAGAAAAATCGGCTCATTATCACGAACACTTTCACGGCTGTGTGCTTTTGCTCTTGGATGTCGGCAACGACAAATAGTGGCTTTGGTTTCGTAACTTGCTTCGGGGTTGACTGGCAAGGACTGAAATTTGTACTTAGTATACCGAGTGGGATGTCGAAGTAGATATTGAAAGGACTGAAAGAAAAAATACATGGAAAATGATAGAATCTTGCATAACATGTATTTCCACAGAAAGCAGTCTTCAATTTTGCAGGAGAAAGTAGAAGCCGTCGCGCTGAACCAGAGGCCTCAAAAGAGAGAGAATCCTAAGTTCGTAACTTACGGAGAGAGAGATCCTCCTCCGTCTTCACATACCATTAATTTTCGTGAGAATATTCTGTGCGCATATCACAGTGAAGCCGATACAGCGGAGTGAGTGGGGATGTAGTTCATCTGAAGAGCCACCTTAACGGTGTAGAACACTACTTCAACCCCTGGGGTAACCATGCATTTTTCGTCCAGGAGCGTTTCACTGTGATGTGATTGGTCTCTGGGCTTGGATGTTATGAATGTTTCGAGTAATTTTTAAGTTCATAAGGGTTCCACTAGGAATAACTACTCAGAGGAATTACGACTTCAAAAATTTCTGGGTTGGCACTTCACGACTTCAAAAATTTCTGGGTCTCTTCGTTTGATTTTTCTAGCAACATCCACCGAGTATAAACATTTATATGTCTAACTAGAACACTTTTCTTACGAAACTCGTCAACGTTGAATATGTTGTATTGTGACGAAACGAATCCCAATCAACAACGGCCAAAGATATCCGATTTGCGGCGTACGCTTCCAGCTTCGCTTTTATTTCCACCAAGCAACCCTTACCACTCTTGGTTTTGACCGACACTCCACGCGCGCTCTTTCCAGGTTGCGTGGCGCCGCGCCCGCTGTTGCTGGTGCAGGCCGACGCCGCGGAGGACTCTGACACCAACAGCAACTCGGCGCTGCTGCTGGCGGACGACGCGGGCGGCGGCGTGGGCGGCCTCGGCGGCAGCAAGAGCACGGGCGGGCCCACGGGCCGCGGCGGCACGCCCAGCAACGGCAACAACAACACCTTCGAGCTACGAGAATTCAACCGCATGCTGGCGCGGCACGGCGGGCGCCTCTAGACCCGCGACGCATATTTCTAAATCGTAACCACGCACATCCTTCCTTCCCTTCCTTTGGTCAGACTCGGGGTACCGCTTCAAGTAGTCGGAATTGGTGCTCACTAGAAGTCGCCGCAACGACCGTGAGAGAAATATTATTGAAAGATTCTTTAAGGATGGAGCTATGTCTCGGCAATTTTCAATATACAACACGAAGCATTTCGCATATTCTCTCCCTCCTTGAAAACATTTCGTGTAATTCTTATTTTGAAGAGAATGTTCCAAAATGGGATTTTGCAAATAGTTATTCAGTAGTACGGCCTTGGAAGAATACGTACTAGGTATGGCGGTATGGCCATGGAGAAGTCTGGCTAACTACTGCTGTGCTGTGTATATTCATATCCAGTTAGAACGAAAGATGGCTTGTGATCTATGTACTATTAATACTACTACTTGAGATTAACAGTTTCTGCAAGTAGTATTATAAACAAAAGCGAAAATTCGTTTGCATTTCGTCATTCTTGTGCATTCCTAATAATTGAAATTTGCGGCCTGTATACTGAATTCGCATTTTAAATTTATTTGTTCAATATAAATTTAGTCTAACTTGTCTTATGTTCTGTGTTCCTAGTGGAAAATCAGTAAAAGGGTAATTGCAACGTGGTTTATTTAGTAATCATATCAATTCCAATATCTTATTCCCGTAATTTCCTTAATTCTCAATGATTTTTACATGCGTCGCCTACTGTGCACCATGCCACCTACTTGCAACGGCTCCAAGATCCTGACCAATGAATGAGAAGTCTCATTTCGGGGTTGCTGTAAATAAAGGGTTACGATTTAGAAATATGCTCCCCGCCCGCCCCGCTCTGCCCCACCACGCTTCGCCTCGCCCCGCTCCGCTCCACTCCACCGCCGGCGACGTCGCCTTAACAGGCCGAGGCATGCCTCCACGCATGGGGAGCGAGGTGTGTCTGGATTAGTGCGCAACACTCCGAAGGGCGGCAGTTTTCGAGCAATTGTCGCGCCGAGAAATTGCTCCCCCCTCAACTCCTCCAGGTTTCGATTAAACAAGCGAGCCCATCGTTCAGAAGCTGGAAGTGCGTCATTACAAACTGATCATTGCCTAATATACATAAATTATTTTTTTATTCAGAAACAGTTGTTCTGTATGAGATCTCAGGGGAAATGGTGGCAAGAAATACAGCAGTGGTCCTTGATATATAATACACTGTTCGACTTCGATATATAATATATACGTGAAACCGTTTACATGGAGGAAAGATATTCAGTTTCCAATCTCGCATAACATTTTTCAATCCGACACAGGATTATTTTGATATACGTACAACAGGTTTTGAGAGAAACCTTTCAACATTCTTTCAGATCATAATAAAACACATCTTCCAAATTCAAAGTAAAAGTAGTCAAAGGAATAAGTTTATCCTTTCATTCCCACAAATGCTAGGTGAAACTATGTATTATTCTGTAATCTCATGATAAAATGAAAATCATTCAATTTAGCGCATGTGTATTTCAATCTACGATAACATGTGAACTTCAATTATAGAGACAACGTAATTATTACTGACGTAGGATGGCCAGGAAGTGCATTTTTCATTTAAGGCAACTCCACTACAATTTTTCATACTGTTTCATCAAAAACAGTTGCAAGTTCAATCATCGAAATGATTGAATCACAATCTTAATGCGACAATTGTAACTCGTCTCCTCCAATTCTAAATTCACAAAAAAGAACTTTCACTCTGCTATAAATTCATCACTACATTAAAACAATTTGGAATGTTCATTGCGTACAAAACTATTCTAAAAATAAAAGATCACTGTCTAAAACCCATATCTCTTGAGATCTGTTCATGACACGGTGAAAATGCATAGTAATTTAGCAAAATTGAGATGGCGAGGGGTTAGATCATTCGCTTATAGAAAACTGGAAATTGGAAGCACGAAGGAAATTTTATCATCAACACTATTGTTAAATGATTATTATATTTCTAAAAATGGTGAATATTTTTGCGAGATTTAAATATCTTGATGACAAAATGCAACACAGTTCTTTAAGGAAAGATTACGTATTTGGCAAGCTAAAAGAACTGGCTAAAAATTACCGATTTTAATTTTGAAATAGTTACCGTGTTATTTTTGTAATTTTCATCTCGAAGACTTTATTTTACTATATTGTAAATCGGTGCTTGATTTATAGGCCCCGGAACGCACCCTCAAACTACTTATTAATTTAATAGAAATAATTATATTTATGGTATAATTTAATAATTATTCCCGGGGTACCGGATTGCCGTTCCGTCGCGTTCAGCCAGAAATTAAGCCGTTGTTAATAATAAAACTTTAGAATCTAACACAAAAATACCCAGCGAAACAAATGTGTGCACTCTTGGTAATATAATCTATTCTAGCGCTTTCTAACAAAAAAGTGTGAATGAGAGGCTCAGAAAGGCCCGAATACGTAATGCCATGTTCACCATTTTACTCAGTTTACATGTTTGCTTCCTTATCACGCGTTTTCCGGATTCCGAAGAACCAGCATACAGCGTATTCCAACATTCAATCTTGATTTATAAATAAACGTAATAATGTCATTTGCCCCTCGCCATCTAAGATTCAGAACGAAACGCCAGCTTGAGCATGAACTTGCCCGTCAACTTTCCCATCATTTCGGTGTCTAGTACAAGCATAGGCCTACTGCTACTGTGTTTTGAGATAAATGTTCCGTGACAAAACGTCACAGACTTACAAATAACATGGAAGTCATATCGGTAATTCTGTGTAATATTTGTCTTTTCAACGTTGAAACCAAGTGATAGAAAATCTTAAATGTTCAAGTTCTCATTTATGTGTCAAAAATGGTTGTTCTTAGATGGTTCAAAGATGTTTTTTCAACCCCTGGCGTCGTATTCTGAATCTTGGTTGTAACAACACCCAACATGGCAAACTTCCAAGTGCGCACACTTGTGAACCCTCGATGGGAAATTCTCCATCTGGACTCGTTAAAAAACCTTATGAAAGGCCACGTCTGCATTTTCACCCACACACCAAGACCCTTCGAACTGCGTTGAAATATATAAGAACATAATGTGGTGCCGACAGAAATAAAAAAGAACCAAAAAAGCCAACAAATCCAATAAAAAGCAAGAGACCTCAAACCATCCAGCTCGTGAGTGTATGATCGTCCCGAAGTGGGGAAGCTAATGGAAAAAGCGAAGAGGTGAGTGAGAGGCAAACGGACTCGGGCAATCTCGAATTCCTCCTGCAAAAGGAGTGCAGCATCCAGCAAACAGTGAGATAGTTGGACTACTGTGGAAGCTGCCATACAGCGACCTTAATTCTTGGTCCTACGAAGCAAACCCCCTACTCTTCAACACCACCAGAAGGCGCAAACACTGTAAATTATTTTTTTATTAAATTATCTAAATATATTGTGTACATCGCGCAGAGGGTTGGATCTGTAGCCAGTCACTACCACTAATACTACTCTACTACTTCTACTAATACTACTACTCATACTGTTTACTTCACACAAAAAATGAAAAACCACTAGCCACAGCAGAGTATCAAGGAACTAGAGTGCAGTCTAGAGCATTGAGCCCGATAGGTAGACAGTGCAGAAAATAAACAAGAGTGGGAGCTCCATTATATGACATGCTCAAGGCAGTGTGTTGGTCTCCCCTCCACATGCATCGTAGAGCAGCATTCATAGCGCATCCAAGGCAAGCAGGTAACAAATTGTATATTTGAAAAAAAAATAAAATATATTTAAAACAAGTCATAGAGCTCTTCAGTTTCCCTCCTAGCATCATGTCTGTTCTGTCCACACATGGAAAAGTGAGCTTTGACATCAGTGCCTCAAACTTTTTGCGGTAAACACTACTAAAGCAACTGAACCGAGCGAGAATAAGAAACTCCTTCAGCCAGGCCAGGAGCAACTCTCTTGTCCCCTGCCATTTCCTCCTAGGGCTGCTCCTCTTGCCCAGGCATAGGTGACTCCCAAAGAAATATTTCACGCATTTGTATTGCAAATACATATATCAATATATTATATAAAAATATATCTATATACTGGTTATATTATATATCCATACTTGTATGTATCGATCTTTATAAATATTTATTATACATAAATATTGTATCTATATTTCTTAATCATGTTTCCCTTGAGGCGATGTGCATGTAATTATTTCCTGAACCACAGTTGGCAGCCCTGTGCTGTCCTTTAGCCAGCTGTACACTGACTTGGTTCCCAATAAAGACATTCTTCGTACCTGTTTGCTGCGTAGTTTCACCATTCCATTTATCAACTCCATCACAGTCATTTTTACCTCATTCTTTCCTTCTACTGGGTTAACTTACATAAAAAAATATGTAATAAAGAACGAGCCAACACTTTGAAATTCTCTTTTTATATGCCATATTTGGTTTAATTAAATGAGCAAATTTAGCAAGTAGCTAAAAAAGCAGATACTAAGGCAAAATAATGAATATTAACCCCTTCAGACCTGGCATACATCCCCATGTACATGATATTTACAGCGAAGTCAAATCTTTACTAAATGTCTGTAAGACTTCTAATTGTTGGAGATAAAGATTTTATCTTATCATTTATCTATCTCATCATTTGTTATTATTATTTATTTAGCATATATTATTTATCTATTTTTCAAGAAACTAGTCTTGCAAGATAACTTTTGTTACACATAATAAAAAGTATATGAATAAGTGTGGTCACATAACCTTGCACACCGGTATTCATGGAACCTTTTTCATAACTGAAGAAATAATAAACCCTATATTCTTATTTTTTTACAGCATAGTCCAATACAAATGATTGCTGGTTGGCCAATATTTGCACTTGTGCTTCAACATGCTTGAAAACCAAAAAAACCGTATTCCTCAAAAGAAAATTGCTTTCAAATCCATTAACGTATCCTTAAAGGAGGAGGAACATTCTTTACAATAATCACTCACCTTCAATTGCTCATCCTCAATATGTATCACACAATCCAAAACAGCACCACCAACCACCACCTATTAAAAAAATTACGTCATGTGCTTTAAAACATTTCTTAAATCTTATAAATAATGTAAGGATAAGAGAGCAAACACTTTCTACATTTTTAGAGACTAACATTCACACACAGTAAAATACAGTTTTCCATATTTGCTCCATTAATAAAAGGGTGTACAAAAATGCACAATGCTATCAGCTTTCAAATAACAACACTTGAAAATATAGAAAGTTTAATAAAAGAACACGCATACTCTTCATAGATTACTCTAAAGCTTTTGACCCAGAAATACACTATTTAATGTATTGCATTGTAAAGGTCTGCACCACAGCAGATTTCGGTCATTAGTAACATCTACTCAGAAATTTGAATCAAGGGCCAAGAAAATAAGGAAGATAATACACCAAGGATGTAGTCTATCCCCAATTCTTTTTAATTTATATTTAGATGAAGCATTAAATATATGGAGACTAAAATCTTATAGTCATGACATGGGAAAAAAGAACGCTAATACCATATTATTTGCGGATAAGCAACTTATAATAGCAAATGATGAATACAGCCTCCAGAAAGCACTGTTTGAATTACAAAAGGAAATGAAATGTACAATCTCCGCATATCTTCTACAAAAACAAAAGGCATGACGTTTGAAAAAATGGAACCAATTAGATCCAAATTAGTTTTATATAATTCACCTATAGAGCAAGTTTCATGTTTCAATTTCTTAGGATACAAACAGGGGAAATTGATATACAGGGGAGAATTGAAAAACTAAATCATATGAACGGAACAATCCTGAGAACACTGGAAAAGGAAGTCAGAAAGGACACTATGATTAAATTCTATAAGGTATTAAGTATCCTAACATGTTTATATAGAAATAAAAATTGGACAATGACCAAAAAACATAGCACATGACTACAAAGTTCTGAAATGAGATTTCTGAGATCAGTGGGTAGTTATAAGCTGATGAACAAGAAAAGGAATTAAGAAATTCGTAAAGAACTTGGGGTATGTAAATTTCAAGAGAAAAATCAATTACTACCTAAATTCTTGGACAAGGCACATTGAAAGAAGGCAAGACAAGCCTGCCAAAAAGAATTCTACAATAATGCTCGTAAGGACTAAGAAATCCTGGCCACCCAAAGAAGAGAGAGTGACCAGATGGGAGAGGAGGAATAATCGGCAGTATCTATACACCTGATGGAGAAGAAGAAAACATATAACACAACAACTTTCATTTTAGAACTGTTTTAATTGGCTTTATGTTAGAAACAGGTCTTCAGAGGTTTAAAAATGATTCAATAACCATATTTTCATCTTCAACAATATCATCAAACAACTATATTCCACTTTTCAACATCACACAAAGAATTATTACTGATGCATTAAGCGAAAGTGCAAGAATGAATACTACATTAGTCTTCGTACAAAAAAAAAAAAGTCCTTTTTATGATTAGTGTAACAAAATGAAATAATAGACATCAAAATATCCTAAAATAATTCATTCCTTTAGAAAATCAACAAGGAGACTGCATTTGACATTTCTTTTTTATCCATAATGAAGGCTCACGTTTTGTTTTTTATCAAAATTAGTAGTCGCTGATCTTAAACATACAGTATAAGTCGTGGACTAAATCATTTAGCATGCCAAAGCAGAGTTAAACTACTAATGTCAAATTTTATTTTATAATTGACAGATAATTCTATGTAAAATATATGATGTACCTGACCAATTTTAAAGAATTTAATTTTTCTTCGTCGTTTCCTTTTTCACTACATTTTTATTACAAACTGTTCACATTGTTAAACAAAATTGTTTGAAATTAAAAATGTAAAAAGGAAACAAAAAGGAATAATACAACTGTCATTAAAAATTGGCCATAGACATATAGTAAACTATTAATGATAACTACAGTAACTAAAATATTGACAAAATTTAATATATTACTGTACTATGTTAATTATTAAGGCAACTAAAATGGTATTACTTTTATACACCCTATTCAATTACACTCAAATTACATATTTTGAGAACCAAAAAATTAAACTAATTTACTTAAAATTTCACTCTGGAATATATGAAATAATGTTTTTTGAAATTAGAAATTCTCTCACTGAACATGAATTTAATGTGAATATAAGAATATTAAGATTTAGGATTTCAGAAAGGTTTTATTAAAAACCAAAAATGCATCTCAAATCATCAAAACTCATTGTGAATTATACAGAAAAGGTATCGCAAGAACATCACTATTCTATAGGTAACTTTAGGAATTTAAATCATTATAAATTTAATTAATTAAGTCTTTGAAATCAGCAACAGCTAATTAATATCTCAATGGCATTTCAAAAATGAATACGCTTCTCAAAATCGATGGGTAAAATATATTTATCTCAACACACTAACAAATTACCACTAAGAACTTCAGTGTATCTTCTCCAATTTTTATCTATTCTTTAGCTTAACATATTAATTTTTAAAGTTTTAAATCATACAATGAATTGATGTCAGTCTACGAAACAACAACAACAAACAAATTCAAGGTTTATTAGCTTTAGCAATAACTCAATCACAAACTTCAACTACAAAGATATTATATTACTATTTTATCATTCAACATTCAAAACTTTGAAACCCAAAAATAATCCTCATCAACATATAGTTCCATGCAATACAACTTCTCTCAAAAATACAAATAAAATGCAGATGATTCACATCATTTTTTTATTAGTAAATTACACAATATATTAAATGACAGGAAGTTACATTACTATTAGCTACAATTACTTACAGGTCCATTTGAGGTCGTTCTGCCATCTGGTATTCTAAACAAACATAATGGAAAAAATTAGTGTTTTCTTTAGCATGAAATTTTGGCAATTATTGATAAGTACTTACATGTTTGAAGCACCCTGGAGACTTCTCCCTATACTTTGTCCATGACCAGGAAGAGCACCTAACAAACCTTCTGGCAGTACAGAATATCTACCACAAGCACTTCTCTGAAAGAAACAAGAATTGGTATTTTAAACAAACACCAAAATTTGCTTGCTATTTAAACTTTTGGCATGGACTCTTGAAAACCAGAAAAAAAGTAATACTTACGGGTGAAAAAATGCGGGCGCTAGTTCTTAATGTTGCAACCAAAGTGGTATATGCACCTACTGTAATCAACATTATCTATTTAGGAGAAAAAATACTGTAAGAATACAACCGGCTACGACAGTTATAAAATGTGCCTGTATTAAAACTGGCACCGAAGCTTGTTTAAAAATTATTTAAACGGCAAACGTTTTGTCATATCTAATATAATTACACACGGTATTATATCGATGACTTGGAGTACTACTTGTCGCTTATCTTTTGCGCTGTCATATACACTAAATAGTTTTAATAATGTCATTCGGAAACAACGACAAGCAACCAAAAACAGTTTGGGTGTTAATTTAATTGTCACACTATAAAATGTATTAATAAATACAAAAAACAAAGTGCACTATCTCACAAACAATAAACCCGAACCGTAACCTCACAATTCCCACGTGCCTGTCAAACGACACAGAGGTACAATGTGGCAGTGTGCCGAACTGCCAATTCTCCACCATTTGCTCTCACACTTGCTTCTGAAGTATGAAAATGTCAAACGTTGGCCGTTCTTTCAAGATTGCAAGGTTGGTGACACTGTTACTGAACAGATGAATACGAGGTAGCTTAGCAACGCGTATGATCTGCGTTTCTTTCTCGCGTTTTTCGTACCTGCCAGGCTATTTTTTATAAATTTATTCTTTTCTGTGAGATACCAATTTTGTAATTATTTTATTATGGAGAATTTGCCTTTGTTACCTGGACTCTCGTTCAGAGATATTACGGTAAGAATAAATACATTTTTTTCTATTCTTAGCAAGCTTCTAAAGACCGCACTAAAAATCGTTTTCTGTGCACAGAAAAATGATTTCCATCTTCCACATCATTTTAATATGGTAAATGGATATCGGATGCCAAGGAAATCTGCTTGCGGTATCGGAGGAGAGCCACATGCAGTGGGATCAGTGGCATTTCTCACTAACGAATCACCCCTGCGGTAAGTGAGAACTACTGTCACACTGTCAGATATAAAGTACCAACGAAATCATTTTGTTATCTAGTTTTGCGGGCGGAATTCCTCAGTTAGAAACTCAGGAAATAAATATGTAAGAGCATCAGAAAAAGAAATTTCCATTAAAGCATATTTACATGTACAGAAACTAGTGGTGATCACATGATTTCTCGTATTATTGGTAACGGTAAGGTAATACGGGAGAGGATCCAGAGACGAATTTGGGAAGGAGAAATTCAATTTTTTTTTGGTCGAGGGTGTCGTATTACAGTTTTGAAAAAGGTCGGAGGCGTACTCTAGCTCATGCTCCAAAAGTGTTCTTTTTTTTTTTTTCTTTCTTTCTTTCTTTCTTTCTTTTTTTCCTTTTTGAAGGAGTATCCTTAAGTATTTTTGCTTGAAAGTTTTGCAACAAGTAAAAACTAATAGATACTGAAAAAATTTAGCCGGAGAGGGGGGGGGGATTTTTCTCCTCGTGGATCCGCGTTTGGGTAATCTTACAATATCGCGACGTCTATCATATTAATACACCATCACTTGAAAAATTCTTAAACAAATAAAATACGAGAGGTTCGACAAAATCCAATAAGTTGCATGTCTTTAAAAAAAAGTCAAAAGTTTACATGACAAGGTGTTCCTGCTTTTTAATTCCGTGCTCTGATCTCACAAAACACTTTAAGAACCTAGAGGTGTTAAAACAGCACGTACTTTCGCCATTAGTAATGGTTATGTAGTAATAGTATTTATACCACTATTTCTATCCAAATTAACACACCTCAATCATCACTTTTGTGAAACTCTTTTTGAAATCGTAGAACATTTAGTGCGAAAAATAAGCAGTTTGCGGGAAAGTAAAATAATTAAAAGTTAATAAATAATACGATACTAAAGCGTGGACAAACAAATGCAAATAAATCGAACAATATATAATAGAAATTATGAAACACTATGGTATTGTTATATTCTACATTTATATAAAAGTATTAGTCTCGTATTACCGCGAACGAAAGGAAACCGTCATTATCGCCTTGTTACCAGTGCGGCAGCGTTACAACCAAAAATGACCGCTCATCTATTCGTTTTCACATTTAACACAATTAAAGGACGCATTTTAAACTGAAATAACATAAATATAATATAAATATAATAAATAATAATAAACTGAAATATGAGATAATGCAGAAATTCTAACTTACGTGGCAACAAACTGTGTAATTTGGGAGTGGGTGACTGAAGATTAAGCAATCATTATTTAATGTTTATTTCAAATAGGTTTTAAATAATTTCTAAAATATTAACTTGTAAACGTATAACAAAATCTGCAATATAAGAAACAAACAAAGAAATTTGAAATAATATACACATTCTAACTTACGTAGCCACCAACTGCCTCAAAACACTTTTAAAATTACAACCATGAAACGTAGGATTTTCAGAGCGAGCGACTAACTTTAACGTTTTATTACTCTAAATATACTCGTTTTCGAAAAATCAGAGTTTCAAGAAAAATGAGACCTGCGCCATTCTCTTAAAAGTCCTTCAAACTATCCAACAACAAAATGTAATCAAAATCGATAGCGCAGTTTTTTTTTTAAATTTATTATTGTCCCAGAGGCTTCTTGAAAAGTACCCTCCAAAATTAAAATATCGTTTTCAAATTCAAGGGGCCATGACATCACGAGATCAATTGGAGAATATCAACTTAGAAGAAAATCGGCTAAACAGTTTGACCGCTAGCGTTGTTCACAGACGGACGGACCGACGTTCTTTCTGTCAAAAATTGAGAGTTTTTTCGCCCGGTATTACTTAACTTTCTCTTCTTAAGACGTTCTTTCTTAAGCGCTAGAAAGTAAACATCCCTGTATTGGAATTTGACCTGTAAAGCTTCTACGAGGCAAAAGTGTTCCTCTACTTCGCTGCGAACTCGTGTGTTTCAAATGATATAACGAATTCTTAATGTTGCGAAATAAATTACCCAAAATATTCGTTTTTGAAGAGTTATTCGTAAAAATATTTAAATATTTCGTGTTGAGAGATCAATTCCTTTAAGAATTAGCATTATGTGCGGCATACCAAAAACGTTTTCTTCTCTTAGTGCTATTAAGCAACAACTACTCCCCGAAAAAGGTACCAGGAATTCACCTACCGCTGACCAGGAGGCATCCCCAGTGAAAAGCACCCTCGCGATCCCAAAACACTGGACAGGCCTGTATCATTACATATTTTCCCATTGTATCCCTTGGTCCGTCTCTGCGCTTGTACCTTCATGATGGGTGTAGGAATCCCGATATATTGTCACAGATTGCACACGTATTTCACACAGTTGCCTCTCAGGTCAGGAGATTGTAGAAAGGATTAGGGTATAGTTGCTCATGTACTTCGTATCTCCTGCTTGTATTTAGTGTAATTAGTGTTATAGAAAATTGGATAAAATTAAAAATATAGCTGAACCTCACTTTTTATAAATAAGCGGCCTTCGATGTGCTGTGCAACATTGAATGTATATTTTATTATTATATGTAAATACTTAGACATTATTTTCCATAGCAACGACGCATTTGCGGCTGACGCTTCAGCAAGTTACGTTTCAGCATTAAAAATCTATCATCATCACACCCATTAACGAACATTATTCTCAAAAATGAATTGACACTATACAAAATGTAGAACAAAATATTTACAGCGCTTATAAAATATTTTCGTTAAAATCTCGACGTCAATTTTTTGCGTTATTGCATATCTTTCTCGTATATTTCGTATTTTACTCCGTTTATACCGCACTGGATTTTTGTTCAACTGCACTTCTCTACTCTTCACTACACTTCACTATGATCCTTTAATCACTTGCTACATTATTTCTCTGTTTTACACTGCACGACACCTCACTTCACAATATATTATTGACGCATCGCTCTATAACCTACAATTGTAAGCTAATTTCCTCATTTATTTTGTAATATTCTAAATTAATTTCCTAAACTGTTGTACGCTACGAGGAAAGGGTTTAAAGGTTTTGCAGGCATTCCTTTATCGTTCAGTTTGTAAAAGAAAATTTCCCCACATCTGTTCTCTGCGGTCTTAAATTTATTTTGTGCCTGTGATCCCCCCTACTGATGTATGTAGGAATACTTAGCCGCCGATTAATTTCTTTCCTAGCTGAATGACCGCTATAAGCTTAGCGCTATAAACCGCTATAGACAAAGCGCACAGCCTTGCTACTGATCGCCCATTTTCGAGAGAATCCCATTTTGCCAATTTCTTGTCCCTGAAAGTAAATTTAGCTGCCCTACGCTGAATTCTTTCTAAATTTTTACACTGCATACTTTTGTGTGGATCCCAACAAATTGTTCCATATTCCATTATCGGACATACAAGTGATAAATAAGCAATATCCTTCGTACTCTTTTTTAAGGTGCGCATTACAAAGAGGAGAGATCTCCAGGCTTTCCCTACAACAAAATCTACGTGACTTTTCCAGCTTAATTTACTATCGAAATGGATTCCTACTTGTATGAGGAAACTATGGGAATAATGTCTTTATTTAAACGGTAATTTGTTTCTCTGTAATTATGACCTCTGCCAAAAGTGTTGGATTTGCTTTTGGAGCTATTTATGGTCATTCCATTATTTCCCGCCCAGCAATATAACGCATCAAGATCCCGTTGAAACATTTCTTCGTCTTCTTTCGAATTCACATTACGATATATTATGCAATCGTCTGCAAATAGCCGAACATTTGATATTAACTGCGCTGGCAGATCATTGACGAACGCTAGAAATAGAAGAGGTCCAATGACAATCTGCGGTATACCTGAAGTAACGCTTGCCCCGGTAGAAAACTAATGGCCTATTCAGACTTTCTGTATTCTGTGTCGCAGAAACTCGTTAATCCACGCCACCATTCTGAAATCTATGGCTGAATTAATTTCTGTAGGAGCCGATCGTGGTGAACGACATCATACGCTTTGGCAAAATCTGTAACTATTGCGTTTATTCTCCCACCCGCGTCAATTTCATTTGCTAGATCCTGAAATAGCGTGGCTACCTGACTTTCATATGAATAGCCACTGTTGGCCATCGTAGAGCCATTTTTTGATTTCCCATTCTTGCTTAATGTAACTGGCAACTAGATACTCCATAAGTTTGCAGACCACTGACGTAAGACTTTCCGGTCTATAAGTACTTAATATAGTTTTGTCACCACTTTTAAAAGTTGGTACGACAAAAGCTAATTTCCAGTCTTCAGGTACTTTAGAATTGTTCATGGATATGTGAAATATTCTAATCAGGTACGGTAATATTGCCTCTCCTCCTAGTTAAATTATGTCCGTAGAAATGTTATCTGGACTCCTTGACTTAACATTTTTCATAGATTTTACTTTATTCCGTAGAACGTTCACTTTAATATTAAACTGATTTGTAACCGAAGACCCCTGAATTATTGAATGGTTTGTATCGCTTTTGAAAACCGAACTGAAATACTTATTAAACGCATTAGCTTTTACCCGATCGTTAGTAATGAGCGTGTA